CTGATTTTAAATGCACAATTTAGCAACCAAATGCTCGAAATAAGCGAAGATAAAAACAAAAAAAGTAAAAAATGGTCATCAAGGTAAAACCAGCAAAGCGGCCTCATATAGATGCATAATTTGGTCTCATTTTTGGTAACCCCACTCTTAGAGCTACCGAAGTTGAGGAAGCAAGTGGAAAGCAATGACTCGTAATAAAATAGAGAGAAAATTTTCGGTCATCGTGTCTACAGACTTCATAACCTTTCCAATCTCTTGCCTGAAAATCCATTCTTAGCTATTTTTTCTAATTAAAAGAATTTCTATCTACTGTGTTGGTACTTTCATTAATCTAGTAATTTATACAGAAAAAGTATAGCAAAATTACACAATAAAATGAAGCTTTCAAATGTTGGCAACTTCTTCACGTCATCTTGACGAAAAGCAGTGCGAAGGAACGATGAGACTAACCAGGAAATGACACAATACTTACTACGGTTTCAGAACTTTGAGACACGCTGAGCTGATGACCAGTACTTGCATACAGCGGAATAAAGAGGAAATAGATACAATAGATACCTCACAACACCAATGACTCACAATAGCTAAAGCCCATAAAGCTTTGCGGAAATATTCTTCAATGTTTTTGAAGTTATATGCCTTTCAATTGAAAATTTACCTCCAATGAGTGAGTTGTACTGGATAGTTACCGGAAAGGTGCTTCACCGGTAAGCACATACCACACAATGATCATACAGATAGAAAGTTCATATTTTCATCAGGAAAAAATCTACGATCATTATTTGGTATATTCACTGAGAAATAATACACACAGTCCTTTCAGATATCCGTAAGGTTACTTTGGCAAGAAAATACTGCTCATCACTAGGTATAAAAATAGCAATTCTTCAGAATCTGAACCAAATCAACTAGAAAAAGAAACGGTAGCTATTATATTATACATGATACATGATGACACAGACTGCATTTCTAGAACACAAAAAAGAAATTCGAAGAAGGAGGAGGAAGAAGGAGCTCTGCTACCTCCACCTTCTTCTCCAATGTTTTCCTGATATTGATTAAAAATTTTCAAATGTTCTGGAGATGAAGTAAACTTCTTAGTAATTTAAATTATGGTAGAAGATGCAACGGCAATTTTTAAATGACAGATCCCTGAATTTTTGTGTTATCAAGATGCTAACCAAATGCGCCTACTCGTTGTACTTAGAAAAGGCCGATTTATGCTTAAAAAGTTTGTTCTTAAGTAAAGTTCTAGTTCTCTGAACCATGAGGCAAAAATCAGGGATTTCTTACACATCGGTCAAAGAGATCACTGTCTGTAACAGATTGTAAAACATCACACTAGTTGGCGATTCGTAAACAGATGTATTGTTCGAACCGTTCGATCATTAGGATTCAGTTTTATAAGATACAAACAATGCTGACGCTGTCTTTCATCCGAATTTGACGAGACATTGCAACAAAGCTTCGGGGACATCGCCGACAGCTAACAACTCCTACGTATCCTGTACAGACAAAATGCACATCACAGCCAACGGCAACAATGTCAGACAGACAAGGGGACTGCTAGCCAGTAAGAACCCAGCTTAGTTAAACTGACAAT